GTTCCAAAAAGCTTTTAGGGCATCGAGCTGACGTATGAGGCAACTATGGCTTGACTTTTTGGTTTCTAGTTCAAGACACGGTAAAAATGAGATTGTGCAACGTCCACAAAACGATATCCTGTCATTTATGGAGGGTTTTCAACTTGGACAGTGATGCTGCTGAGAAAACAAGAATTACCGTGCACCGAGAATAGAAGAGTCGTACTGAATGAATCAAACTGGTACTTAAATTGCCACACACCCTCGCGCTTGACGAAAGACCCCGAAAAGGTCATTGTTCGACAATAAAGTGGATACTCCCTCAAACGTTTTTACTTTTCCGATTTAAGTAGATTATTGCCGCGGGATGAAGGATTACAAAACCGCAATATTACTATGGACAATTCCGTTGTCTGTTATAGAATAGCCTGAAGATCAGATTGTTTTAGGTTTTTGTCAGCCGTACACTTTTTCTGTTATTTCAAAGGAGTGTTCTTCCCAGCACCCACTGTTTCTCTATAACATTCCTGAGTCCTAACGCTAGTCATAACAACTTCCAGTTTCACCTGTACCTGCAAATTAAATTCAGCGTAGTGTAACTGAGAAGAGAATGGCATAAATGTTTTTGCCAAAAGTTTAAAGCATAGGAAGCACATTTATGAGAGACATGGCTTCAGGATGGAGAACTTAATTCAGTGGGAGCGGGGTGGGGGAGGGGAAGATTCGGCACGTGATCCACCAAAGTGTGGAGACTGGGGAGAGATTTAACATCTGTCAAAGAACGACAACCGAACGGGCGGGATCATTCGGAACATGGTGGTTTCTTAGTAGCAGCAGTCCATCGAAAAATACCCATCACGCGAAGGTGCCAATTAGCTGTGAGGGACTTACTGTAACACCATACACTGTAGTTGAAATATATGAAAAATCATGCGCTGAGAATGTTCTATTCTCTCACTCTTTCAAGATTTAATGGCGCACCTCTAAGGAGTGAATTGCAATTTTTGAAACAGGTTTATCACAACTAAGCCTCGACTAATAACACTAAATATCAACGTTAACCTCAATCAGCCTGTATTCAATTGACTGCCTGGTCCCCAGACACTCGCGAACGCTCTTGAGGGGATACTTGAGTTAATTAGGGAACTTAAGCAAAGGCGTTTTCTACATTCCTGAGCAGTGGTTTCGCCCAAATATTCAGTTCCATCGTCTCTACAAGTGTAAAGAAACTAAGCAATACAGATTTTATAGCGTCAAGTCATATTAAAAGGCAATAGTCCTCACTTCCGGTTGACGTGCCTCTCTCAAAAACGCCTTTGCTTACGCTCCCTAATTATTAAGGAAAACGGGGGAGAAAGGAGTGATGGGAACGGCAGAAAAAGCTAGCCTCTACAAGAAACGGTTTGACCGCCACAAACCAGTCAAAACCGATATCATCCCAATACACCTTACTGATTCACAATACCCGCCATCTTTGCTCGCTCTTTGGGACTGATGGGATAAAAGCAATGTCACGAGTTTCTCAGGTGACGAACAAGTGATGTAATCTGCCAATACAAGATAATCCCGGTCGAGTTTGTTTACTCTAGACAACAGAAAATGAGGATTTTACTACCTTAAAGATAATAATGGCAAATTATGGTAGAAGTGATTAATGTTACTTCCATGGATGCAGTAGCGACCGAAGATGTCCATACAGTAAGCAATAACGACTTAAAACTTGTCGAAACTCGAACTGAACATTTTGCATGACTAAAATCGTCTTCTCGTTTTGATAGAATAAACAAAATCGTCTGCGATTACTCGTATTGCCAATTTCATTGCTTGTTTGCCCCCTGAAATATCGCTTGTTATTGCTTTTATCCCATCAATCCTAAAGCTGGCATTCAAAGATAGCGGGCATCGTGAATAAGGTCTATTGGTGAGGGAGTTTTTACTTGTAGTTTTCACTTCTTTCCCATCACTCCTCGCTCGAGCTGTGCGCTATTTCCTATCACCCCCCCTCACGGGCTGCTCGCTTGTCTCGAGCATCAGTAGGTCCCTGCTGCTCCCCCGAGTTGGATCGCATTTCAAGTGAAATGTGTTAACTGAGCCATAACTTTTGAGTTTTGACTGGATTTTTTCTTTCCAACGTTCAAGCTGTGGCTCAGCAATAACCGTCCGAACGTACGAACTTGCAGGGTCAGGGCTTTCCACATGTTGCCCGGCAACAATTGGCAACTTCTCGTATTTCGAGTATTTTTTTCGTTTCGAGCAATTTTTAGTTTTCTATCAATTCTGATATATCGGAGCAGCTTCTAGTACTTAAATTGGCCTTGATTCCATATTTCACAATGTTTTAGTAGATAATTTATGAATTTCCTGTAAAAAAGGAGCCAGATCCTCCCCCTGTCGCAGATAATGGGGGCAAGATGCATGCAGCCGGGACTTTTAGGTCAGCGGTTTTTAAAGAAAATTGAAAATGGCAGAAGAAAATGGTTACTAGTCTCAAGTCAACAGCAACAACAAGTTTATTAGAGTCTTATCAAAATCAAACATGCATGTCACGCTATTTTCCTCCTTTTTTAACAAAATCGTATTTACCCATACAAATGTGTCATTAATTCTACAGGGTACAATGTATACAATAAGCGAATGATTGTGACTGACAAGGAAATAGAAAGTGCGCAGGAAACCAGTGTCCGTTGTAAAGCGGAGTTGATGATACGTGAGAGTTTGTGACTCGGGACGCAGGAAAGTGTCCGTTGTCCGTATTAGAAAATACATACGAGCTTTTCGTCGGGACAAACGAAATTGTCCTTTATTCGCGGGTGTCTGTAGAGAGGGATTCCACTGTACCATCATCACCGTCATTAACATCATCATCATCATCATCACCATGATCATCATCGTCGTCATTGTGGTCATCGTCGTTGCCGTAATCACTATCATTATTGTTATCGTTGTTGGCGTCATATAAAATGCCGATGTTCCTATAGCAACTGACATAGTCTTATTTTTCTTCTTAGTCAAAGGATAGACAACACTTTGTGGACAGCTCCGGTATGTACTTTCTTCAAGATCTTATTGATGTTAACTCAGGCTCGCTTTTACCTTTCCTTTCAAAAATCCACTGTCTCTTCCCCACACACATCAAGTCTGACTGTTAGGTAAGAACGCAGAATACCTTCATTTTATATAACACCAGCTAGTGTGGCAGTTGGTAGTGCGACGCGGAAACAGTGTGCTGTTGCTGACAGTGCGGACTGGCGTTGAATGAACAACTTTTAAAAAGTTGCCGGGTTAGACGCCCCTCCCTGTAGTCCAGGACGCGTGGATTATCTTGCTGGGAAAACTCAAAATTTAAAGCTCTCTTGGGTCCAAGGAGGTCATCCTCCAAATTACCTGAAACAAGCAAGAAGTGGTCCTGGGAAAGCAGAATGTTAGGGTTTTTTCACAGAGGACATGCTTGAATTCAATTTTTTTTTCGAGCCCTCCAGTTGGTCGGTGATCTTTGAAATGATACTGCAATTTTGGTCAGTTTGTTTTCCGTCAGGCTGTTCCATTTATATCCAACAAGTTCTTTGATAGCTTTTAATTTTTAGGTGCAAAAGAACCAAAGAAGAGCTTAAAAAGGCCTGTTTCTGTAGGATGAAGCACCCAAGAGTATTGGCCCTGAATATGGCCCTGGGGGATACTTCTTTTAATGGCCTATAAAAGGAGTCTCCGTACGAAAGAGGTACCGTTTCAGGCTTCAGGTATATGAAGATTAGGGATTTCACTTGTTTAAGTGTATAAAAGGGTAGAGAAATCTGTCATTTGGGTCGGTTTATGATCGTTTCTAAGATACAAAGTCGTTTCGGCACAAGTTTATTCAATCGTGTTAGTTTCGCGCACTTGGCTTAAAGAACGACGGATGAATATTCACCCAAAAAGTTTCTCTTGTTCATGGGCAAAGTTCGTACCCAAACGGCCGGCTCCGGTTTCCTTTTGGTCCTTAAAAAAGGTCCAAAAGAGCTAAAGGACTCATTTCATAGCTTTCAAAAAGTCGTGGAAACGTTCTGGTTTTGTGATTTATTCACATTTTAAAACGTTTTTTGCTATGCAAAGTTTCCAACGTATTTGAGAAGGACCATTTGTCAATAGTGGTAATTTTTCTGTCCAAAATGGTGTATAATTAAAAAGGGTAAGGGGTCAGACATCGTGGCGAAGCCTCCCATGGGGGATGCAATGGGGATGGGGCTAGTCCATCGCAGGGTCCGCCCCCCAGCAGCAAGTAGCCGGTATCTCTTATATCAAAACCTGGATGAAAAGAGACAAAAATAAAGTGGTTTGTGATCAGCATAACAACCTGTCGCCCGCCGAAAAGGAAGCCTTAATACGACTTTCAAAACGCAGAGACATCGAAGCGGCCGATAAGGGTGGTGCTGTCGTGGTATGGTCGCGCACTCTATACATCGCCGAAGCAAATCGTCAACTGTCCGATGGTGGGTTCTACGAACGCCTAGACCACGATCCTCTTAAGGAAAATCAGATAGTGGTTAAAACAACAATAACTGAAATGATTAGAGACAACAAGCTTCCACCATTAGCTAAAGGTTTAATTGTCCCTACACCTCAAAACTTACGGTTCTACCTGCTTCCTAAGATCCACGAAGTAGGCAGCCCTGGCAGACCAACTGTTTTAGGCGTGTTGTTGTCGCACCGAAAATATAACTTCCTACTTGGATCAGATTATGTGCCCCCTTGTGCACAATCTTGGGACCTATATAAAGGATACCAACCACACCTTTCGAATCTTCATTGTTTTCCATTTTGACAACACAACGACTGGCGAACGCTTCCTCTACACCATGGACATAAAATCATTATATACTGTTATCCCCAACAACAGTGGCCTTGAAGCGTTAGCCTATTTGCTAAACAAGCGTCCAGTTCTCGACCCACCTACAAGCACACTCACCCGTCTTGGTGAACTTGTGCTGACTCTCAATGCCTTTACCTTTAACGGAGATTTTTACTAGCAAATCGGAGCAGTCGCCATGGGCAGTAAGATGATGGGCCCAAACTATGCATGTATTTTTGTTGGATACGTTGAGGAGCGAATAGCAAGCCAGCACCACGGCTTTGTACCTCAACTACACAAGAGGTACATCGATGACGTCATCGGAGTCGCATGTTGTAGTCGCGTGGACCTGGAAAACTATATTCGCTTCGTATCCAACTTTCATCCTGCTCTTCAATTTACGCACACAATCTCTGACACTGAACTCTCTTTCCTCGATATCACGTAACGCATTACTGATGATCACATCAGCACTACCATTTACTACAAGGACACTGACACCCACACCTATCTTCATCATCAGTCCTCACATCCCAGCCATTGCAAAAAAGGCCTTCCTCGCAGTCAACTCTTGCGACTTCGCCGTCTGTGTTCTGAAGACTCAGATTTTCTGGAAAAGGGCGGTGAAATGGTGTCTTTCTTTGAACAACGTGGAAACTCCCCCGCCTGTTTACAGAACGATCTCCAGGCCATCCGACGGTTAGACCAGGCTGGTGTACTAAACAATCACAACCCCTCTAATCAAAGATCAGAAAGGATTCCTTTGGTTCTTACTTACCATCCTTTAACAAAAAGAATCAAGAGAATCCTACTTCGTAATTTCAACATCTTGTCGAGTGACCCTGAAACCAGAGCAGTCTTTCCGCAACCACCGCTGGTCGCCCATCGCCGTTACAGCAACCTCCGTGATATCCTCGTGCACTCGGATAGCAACCAATCCAGTTTTCAGGCGGGTACATCTCCGTGCTTACACGCTCGCTGCCGCACTTGCCATTACATTTCTAGCGACACTAGTATCCGTGGCCCTCAAAACTCTTTTGTTATCAAGAAGCTGAAAAAGGCGTTCTCTTGCCAAACGTCTGGCTTGGTCTACTGCATCTCCTGTCACCGTTGCCCTGCCCTCTATATCGGCGAAACAGGGCGCACTTTAAGACAACGTTTTGGCGAACACCTTCAGAGCATTGAAAAGAACTTGCCGGGGTTTCCTGTGGCTGAACATTTTAACACGGCTGGTCACTCAATCGATGACGCTTTGGTTCGAGGAATGATGCTCTCTGTAGATAACGTGCAACGGAAGCGCCTGGAAATGCGACTGATATTTCAACTTGGCACCAGTCAGCCGCGCGGTTTAAACTCCGACTTCCGTTTCCTCTAGGCCGCGCGCAGAGCCGCGTGTGCACTATAAAGCCTTTAATTTTTATTTCTTATACTACTACATGAGAAATTTCTGCAATTTGATTGGCTTAGAGAAGTGGTATTTCAGCTTAATTTGAAATACCTACATGTGAAAATTACAAACCTTTTGCGGGTAGTAGTATAAACAAATAATAGCATGATTTGCACGTGATATTTGGCATAAACACCACTCGTGATATTCCAAAATTGTCTCAAATTTCACTCGCCTAACGGCTTGTCAAATTGCGTATAACAATTTCGAAATATCACTCGTGGTATTTATGCCAAATATCACTACAAATCATGCTATTACCTATACTAATTTATGGCGTATACAGAGGTGAAAATGAAGGTTTGGCAGCTTTATTCGCAACTATAGTATCTCTGAATACCAAGAAAAGAAAAATTATGCTGTGATTATGTATTCGCACTTCTCAGAGTTTAATGACAACGCCGAAACTTTAAGCTATGTCACGGTAGATGATGGCGCATGCGTTACAACAAAAGTGAGGCATATTTTAAAGGTCACTACATTCTTAATGAGCTTTTTTAGGCAGTTTGCTATCAATGACAATGATGTATCGGCTGGGAAAAGCAACAGAAAGTGCCATTCTATTTATTTATGTCGCTATAGTCTTCGTTTTGGGAATTTAAGACGTGGAAATCGCTTGTTGAAGTAAACCTTAAATGAGACAACCAGTTGCAAAAGTACTTGAGTCACTGTACCGTATTTTGGCATAAAATGGCGTATCCATGATCTTGTGCTCGTGATCCCCCCTCCACTTCTTATCAAAGTTGCTAGCAATACAAGACCATACTCAAAACTTGGAGGAACAACTTTGAATGGGAGGGAGGAGGGAGGTCAGTATCATCTCAGAGACCTGTGACCAGGAGCGATTTGAAGCAAGAAAGGTCGTTTTTTCGTGGCAGTGTCTCAACAGTTTTTGCAACTGGTTGTAGCAGTACCCTTTTTGGCAATGGAAAAAAGAAACTAGATGAAAATTATGCTCGTAATGACGAATTATGCCAAAAATCATGCTAGCCCCCGGGGGAGACTCCCTTGGATGAAAGGGCGGGGAGTGCTCTTCATCTCTCTTGGGGGTGTAAATTTCGGATTTTGGTCTCACTTTTGCCTAGTCCCTAGACCTCATTATTTGGTGCGGCCAAAGCGTTTCGGGTCACGTGGTCCAAGCGTTGTTCGCCTCGGATACGTCACCGAAGTGAATTAACCGAGAGGGACTGAGAAAACGCCGTACAGGTACTAGGCAAGTCTCCTGCTTAGGGTTTTTACTAATCTCGTACCCAGATCTCACTCTGTATTACACTGAAATCTCGTACCCAGATCTCACTCTGTTTTACACTGAAAAGTGATATCTAACAGATCTCCCTTTCCCTTGGCCGTGGGAGATCTGGGTACGAGATTAGGTTTTTACACGCGAAGAAATATATATATAAAAATTCAATTCTCTTTTATTTACTCTATTTTTGTAATCAAAGTTTAAAATGGCCCCTTTTAGGGATCAAAATTGTGTCACGTACGAAACCCGTACGTGACACAAATAGTGAGCCTGGGTTACCTGTGGTGTAGATAAATAATTGTACCCTTACACCTATTTGTTTCACCTATTATTTGGGTAAAGAAAATCTTGCGTTATATCTAGGGCTTAATTCTTTGTATAGAGGTTCGTTGTATCGCGGTTCCCCCGTATGTCGACCTCTGGGACCATTTTGGGTAACTACTTGGTGTAGGCATTCATATAAGGATCCGCCTGAGCCTGCGTTTTTACCGCATACCACAATACATGCGCAGTCATTTTTCAGTCCTTCAACGCGGGCTTTTTGAAGAGAAGAGAGGCCATATTGGGTTCTTTGCCGTTTTGCTACCGTGAATCGTTCGGTTTTTTTAAGGTGAGATCATTGTAATTTTATTGTTTCAATAGCTTATAGGGCGATTACCCTTTCTGTTATAATTTCGTTAGTGGACATCGTAATCGAACTCAAATATCCATGGACTGAGTTCGGGAATTCAAATCGATCGATCGACACATTTTCTGTGAGTTCAGCCTTCGTAGCATGGCGGTTTTGGTCAGGCGCGCAAACAAAACCGCCATGGTTCGAAGGGTACTGTGAGTTCGACATTGGTTCGATTATTGAATCAATAGAACTTGATCGAAATAATCAAACTTACATGTAGTCCATTGGAAACGAAGAAAGTCGAACCACTCAGTTTGACTTCTGAAACGACTTTGGAACGCCTTTGATTCAGACGCCGAACTTTGAACCTAGTGCTTAAATTATAATAACGTATTTTGCAAGCATAACCAAAATGAGCATTTAACTCCTCGGTCGGCCTTTAGTAATTCGAATTAGGTTCGGCTCATAAAAAGTTAGGCGTCTGAACCGGGCCTAGGAAACTGAGTGAATCAAGTTTCACGCCAGTGTACTGATCCTTAATATAAATGGAACCTGATGCACTCAGTTTCCTCAATACTAACTTCAACGTCATTCAGTGTTCTGCATTTGGCTTTCCGCAAAATACCCCTGCCGCTACAAAACTGTAAAAGTCGTTTCGCTGCATCATGAAGTTAATTCGTTGAATTATACTATGTTGATATTTTCTCAGTCCTGCTATTTTAAAAAACAAATATATATTTCCATTTTATGATATCAGAGAGAACTCAGGATTTGAAATGGATGTTATAATGGAAGTACATGAAAATGGTGATCAAACAGGTGCAGAAGAGGGAACATATGAGAAAAGGTATGTTTTAACATGTCCTTTAGTGGTCACCAGAGATTTTAATAGTGGCCAGTCCAATTAAAATTTGCTTGTGTTCTGTCAGACATGATGTGAGGACAGTTTAAAAAAGTAAAGTCCTTTTTATTTAGGTCAATGTGCTCTTCACAGAAACATGTGCTGAGTTGAACTGATGTACAGGTTTTGGTATACTTTCCATATTATTTCAAATATTTCCATCAAAAGGGGGCAATTATCAGAGGGAGGTGATTAATCGAGGGACGGCTAAATTATTTAACGAAATACGGTATACCATATTTCCTTGAATATAAATAGCTATCCCTCAATTATTCGCCTCCCTTGAATATTCGCCCCCTTAGACGAAAAAATTGAAAATAATTGCCTCCCTAGGGTTGTCAGAAAGTTTTGAAGTAAATGGCTAAGTTTTCAAAGTAAGCAGCCAGCTCAGGGATATTTTATTTAAAAGACACCATCCGTAAAGAAATGCCACGCAGAGCAGCCGGCCGATACTAACCAAATAGGCAGTGATTTTCGCCGGCAGCCGGCTACTTTTGACAACCCTGCTCCCTTGAATAATCGCCCAATTCTTTCAAAAAAAAAAATTCATTAAGCTATATGAACATTATTCTTTATTTCCATGAATGGTTGGGGATAGGTTTGCAGAACTTGACCCAATCCAAATCGATCCAGGTTTTTTCACAGCTATTTCTTGCCTTGCTTTGGGTATTATAAAGACCCTGCCATTTACAAGCAGTTGTACATATACACACTATACCATGTAACACAGTCTCCTGGATATTTTGCCAAAAATATCCAGGAGACATTTTCTGGTCCATTTTCTGGTCCGGCCAAATAGAGCCAAAATTGCCAAACATGCTGTGTACTAATCAAGCATTTACCTACATGTACATGTTGTATAACAGCTATGTTTGTTCCTGATACCAAATTTAATTAGCTTTGGCAGTTCAGGTGCATGTATGCAAAAAAGGCAAAACTTCATGATAGTTTTTAGTCGGAACAGTTTCACTGGCCTGTCTACGTCCTTGTACTTCTACATTTTGCCTTCTCTCTTACTTTCTTCTCTCAAACTAATTTTGTTTCTTTTCTGGGCATTTGCAAACCACTGTATTCTTCATTTCAGTGGGAAGGGTTTTTGTGATAACTGTTACATGTATCATTATAAACTGAACCATTGGATAATGCAATTCTAGAGCTCTGATTTGCTAAGCCATCATGGTATATGAGCCATTATACCAAATATGTACAGGTCCAAATAATTATGGTAACTGTATGCGTCTGCTAAAAATTAAAAACAAGCTGAAAATTGGTTGTGTTTACAAATAAAGAAGGGAAGAATTCTCAATAATTTTTGTAGGAGATTTTTTAGAAAAAAATTATATATTCCACTTGTGTTTGCTGGATATTTAGCAATTATTCCTTGAGCCCGAATGGGCTCTGAGTCAATAGCCCATGAGGCTGAAGGCCGAATGGGCTATTGACTCAGAGGCCATGAGGGTGAGAGGAATAATTGTTTTAGTAAAATCCAACTAGTTGGTCAAAGATATCGAGAATAGAAAAAAATTAGCTAGTTAAAGCTAGACTTTAATCCTTTTTTGCCGCCAAAAAGCCGGCACTTTTCGCTATTAGTGGGCTATAACATAGTAGTAGCTCAACCAATCAGAACGCAGCATTGATAATAGACTACTAGTTGGATTTTGCTAATTAAGAGATGATTATAGCCAACTCAGTGCTACACGTCTTGTTGGCGACATTGTATCTACCATCCCATATCCAATGCACACTGGTGGAATAATTGTTAATTATTCGAAGGTTTTACACATACATAAACACACTACACAGTGGGAAGTGAGACAAGATTTTTTTTGGAATTTTGTCTTTTTTCCAAAGATCGGTCAGTCTCTGCAATTTTCTTTTCTTAGGTAGCCCAAATAATCATAAGATTGTTTTTTCATTGCGACTATATTACTGTAACCAGGGCCACCTTCAGAAACAAAGTTGACCAATCGGATTACAGGAAAATAACAATACATTCCAAGAAAGCTGTTTATGGGCCAATCAGCTGCTTGTAAAAAAAAACATTAACCCATTCGCTCCTGGAGATTTTGCCGAAAAAACGCGTTTTGAAGCTAGTCGAGTGGTTTTCTGGTCACTGTCGTGCTATAAAGAGCTAAAACTTACCACAAACCGGTTTACAGGTTGTACACTTGGCGGCCTTCTGATCCAGATGCAAAACATCAGCTTGCGAAGTTCGGGCATGCGCAGAAAGCAAAATTTCGAGATAGTTTTTGGGTTTAAAAGTGACACAGCAGTCTTGACTTTTACTTTTCGCTTTTCTTGCCTCATTTTTTTTTTTCTCTTGCTGGGCATTTAGTAGGCTTCATTTTGGTGGGAAGAGTTTTTAGGAAAGCTTTTAGGATCTTAGGATTAGGTGAAAGGAAAGATAGGTGGGCAATGGAATAAGATTTTCATGGAGATTTTCAGGTCAATGTCACGTGGTTTTTTGCTTCTTTCTCCGGTGTCCTTGACTGAATTGTGCTCATTCTGGTATGGTTTGAAAGATCTCTTCACTCTACACAAGTTAGCGAAGAAAGTTGTCCTTGACCGTTAAAACTAATGACGTCACAAAGGGTAGAAAAGACCTGGATCCGCACGGGCGGTTATGGGCGGTTCAGGAGCGAATGGGTTAAGTTACTTGAAGCACAAAATTTAAATGTTGATAGCAAGTGCTATTCAAGAAAGCAAAATGTTTCATCAGATAATGTTTTTCTCTTCTGAACGAAACTTTACATTGTACACTCAGGAGACAAGCTTTGCAATAAACATGCAACGTCAACTTCAAAATGTGACTGCATGACTCTTTCCTTTTTTGCCTTTGTGAATGCTTTGACAGACCTCTCAGGAAACACAGGCTTTTTTCAGCAGGTTTGCAATGTTCTTCTTATCAGCTGGTAATTAACCTGTAAAAGTTTTTGCTTGAAGCAGGACTTCTTACCACCCGCGACCGCTTGACGTAAAGTGTTACTACAATCAAATAAGTTGTTTAAAAAAATATGCAAGTAATGATTCAAGCCAATCCTCACAAGTAAAGGAAGTAAATATGGAAAAACAAAAAGTAAACACAGCCATTCTCTTAGACTTTTTCAAAGCCCATTTCCGCTGTTTGGTACCTTCCGGAGCACTGCTGGCTAACAATTTTTTTACCGGCTTCTCTTTCAATTCTAGACTTTCTTGACCAGCAGGAAAGTTTGTGGCTTCCGCAACTTGTGTTACTAAATTGACTCTAGTGGTAAAGGCAGCCTTCATTGGGTGTCTGGAAAAGCCAGAAACTGGAATCGCGAATAGGAACAGGAACCGTAATGGGAAGAGGAACCTATATAAAAACAGGGACAACGTAAAATATTATTTATCTTAATTTTTTTAAAATTTGGATTTAGTTAAATTCTTATTTTAGTATATATGAAAAATAAGGAAAAGAAGAGAACAGGAACCAGAACCGGAATAGGAAAGGGAATAAAAACAGTGCATAGAAATATGAAAAGAAAAAGATATAATCGTGATTTAAATTTATATAAAAAAAAGCAGAGAAATAATAAAGGAAACAAGAAACCACTCTTGAAGTGTGAATCTAATTAACCTTTTTTATGGCACATTGTGTTTTTGGGACTGTCAATTACATAAAATTAGCATAATGCAATCAGTTGAATTGTACGCAGCGGTAGATAAAGTGTTGGCTGGGATGGGGATGGGAGAGAGGAGGTGTTAATACCCTTTTTAAGCTGTGGACTGTCTATTCCTGGTCAACTTCCCAGTTTAGTTTTATACAATATATCTACATGTATGTAACAAACCTGAATTTTATGGCAACTCAATAAACCCCTCTGGTGGTTGTCCCGTTTACACAGGAGACAAAAGGAACCTTAAGATCTGACAACAGCAATGCCAGTGAAAGTGCCTCTGAAAAATTGAATTTGGTTCCCTTCAAACTATTTCTCATTAATTCCAAATAATATTGTCCAGTCTTTAAAGGTTGGGAAATGAAGCTGGAGCTGAAGGGAGAGGAACTACATGTCCGAGCTCAGACAGACACAATAAAATTTGTCACCCTGCCGTTGATGTTCTCAAGAGAACTTAATATTTGATCATGACTTCATATCGTAGTTGTGCATAGATGGTGAAGAAACTGACAGAAAGCACAATGCGCGTGCAAAACTGTTGCTTTACTTTGAAAGCTTGGTGCTTTTTGACCTTCTCGTTGCGGTAACCTATTCAGGTCCCTTATAAAACACGTATATAGAGAGATCAGGGGAAGGGCATCATCCCAGGCTGCATGTACTTTTCTTATTTTTCATATAAATTGAATTAGAATTAAAATGAATTGAGGTAAATGGTGTCCCTGTTCTTGTATAGGTTCCCCTTCACATTACTCTGGTTCTGTTTACGGTTCCTGTTCCCATGCCCATTCCTATTCTAGATTTCGTGGTTTCCTTCTTTTCTGGGCACCCGCCTTTGTTAGCAAAATTTTTGTTTTGAGTGTTTAAAATACTTTGCAGTCAATTGGTTGATAGAAAGCTTGAAAGTAAAAGCCTTCATGAATGCAAAGCACCTCCTCCTGCCAGGAGATTATGCCTCTGACACATATTTTTGGTCTTTACCAGTCAGGAATAGTTCAGTACCTACTGAGCTAAAATTTAGGGAGAAGATTGGGTTTGAAAGGTCACGTTTGTAGGTTGTAAATGGTTGGTTTTGATCCATGTTGGTTATTTTGTTATGTGGGAATTATGACTGACAACTACATTGTATCTTTCTCAGAATGTATTGTTATTTTCTTGTCATCCAATTAGTCAATTTTGTCTAGGTGGCTCCGGTTATAGAAGTCACTCTGTAATTCTTTACTCTGCTGCATTCATGGAATTTACTCATTATACTGTACAAACTGGTGATGATTGAATGAGTGATGTTGGATACCCAAAATAATGAGCATATAACAGTGAAACAGGCCAGAAAAAAAAACATGCACACAAACTCTAAAGTTGACCAGAAAATGGAAATTCTGTTTCTACCTCCCAATTCACCAGATCAGTACAAATGTACTTCTAAACAATTTAAAATTCTTTGGGGTTTTTCCAGAAACTCTTCCCACCTAAAAGAATCCTATGTGTATTATTAAAATTCATGTCCAACTGGAAGGTACATGTATCACTAAGTAAAAGGTAAAAGTGAACCAGCTGTGCCTTCTGTGCATGCATGCCCACACTTCAGAAGCTTTGATTAATTTTAGTGACACAAACAAAAGGCAGCATTAAGTTTTTAATTATCTTTTAAACTTAACAGTTTTGGTAGTTTGGAATCTTTATTTTTGGCATACAGTGTATGACCAGAATTAGATGTAAATTGGCCTTTTTTGGGAAAAAGTTTAGGAGCAAATGAGTTAAGAACCTTGTTTTTCCCTTAATTGTTGGTTTTCACATGACGCCACGTTACTTTCACGATGCATTAGTGCAGCTGAAAACTAATTTTCATACAAATCTTCACTTCAAAAGGGTTCTTGGTGTTGTGATAGAGTACGCTTGAATTTCTAAGCTTCTTCGTGACGCGGCATTTACATGACGGCCAAGAGAGCAGTCATGTAGGTTAAAAAATGACTTATTTCAGGAAATTTTGCTATCTAAACAGTTCATGTATTAGAAAAAGTATTTCTTTAATGTCTATGAGTTTCTCAAAGAATAAATTCACGCTTTTGTAGCAAAACTCGGTAACAGATGTTTCTGTTGGTTTCTGTCCGCTATGTTGGAGCTCATCCAGGTGAGCACCAGCATGGCATCTCCATACAAATCTCTATAAATTTGGGTAAAACATTTCTTCGGATATCTCGTATATGAAATATTCCTCTGACCTGAATCTTGGCAAAGGCCTTTGTATATGTACCTCCTTTCATTTCCCAGATTCTGGACTTTACCTATTTTATTTTGATCTATTTTGAATGGTGTGACACTGAAAACCAGCAATAAGTGAACTTACACAACAGGAGGGCAAAGGAAAGAACACAGCAGCCTTCTGTGACAAGTGACCAAAATTTTGTTTGAAAAAATAAATATTCACTGTTAAACTTCACCTTCTTTTAAGCAGATTTTTTTTAACAACCTAAACACAGCGATATCATTATTTTGAAGATCATGTCTAACACGCAAGTAATAGCCCTGTCATGTTTGTCACACACAAACATTTTGCCGTCCTCTTCTTTCTGCGCTCTTGTTGCATAAGCTCACTAACTTCTGGACAGTGACCCTTTATGAGATTGGTACAAGGGTATGGTTATTCTCTGAAACCACAGCTACAATTGCAGCTATTCACTACTCTCCTTTGGTGGTCAGAAATAAATAATTTTACCTTCCCCATCTCCACTAGTCTCCTTCGCAGCCATTATTAGGGTCGTCACGCAACGCTCCTCCCCACTAGTGGACTATTTCTCCACTGGTCTGTATGTAGTTCTTTCTCAGTACACATGGTCAGTATGATATCGATCTGATACCCCTATTTTTTCAGGGAATTCGCTGATACCATTCTCAAATATGAAGTAGACATTGGAAAACCAATTTCACAGGCTCTTCTGGATTCAATTTGCGCTCTTCTAAATTCAGGAGGAGGAGTTTGGAACATCAAAGTCACTGGTTGGCAAAACAACAAGAAAGTTACTCCTCTGAAAATGTTGGATGATTTTTGGTCCAACTTAGAAGAAAAATTGATTACAATGATAAAACCCAGTGTTTATGATGACGTTTTTGATCGTAAAATCAATGGTGATGAAATCTTCCTTTTTGTCAAAGCACCAAATCATTTGTGTACCGTAGAGTTCAATTTGTTTACACCTCTTGATGCCAAAAAGTTACCAGCAACATATGATAAAGTTTTAAAACTGTTAAAACAAAGGAAGAAGTCTACAAGTGTTCCACAGGTTCCTATTCAGAAACTTCCTGCCTTGCCTGAAAAGTTCATGTTCAATACAGTTCTTAAGTTCCATGAGTCACAGCAAATTCAGTTGAAATATTACCCTTCAAATAATGGACTGTTGCACAACAATAACCGCACACAGCGAGACCAGATAAGAGAGTGGATCTCAGCATTTGGTAATGGAAGCGGTGGAATGATAGTTTTGGGGGTTGATGATAAAACTGGAAAGATCACAGGCCAGCTTTTGGAAGGAAACAGTAAAGAAGAATTTGAGGGAAAGGTTTCCTCCATTGTTTACAAAATGAGCCAAGCATGGTGCTTTATCCCCAAAAGAGGGGTTCACTGGGATCTTAAGTTTTTTCCTGTTGAGGGCAAGGGGAGCAAATCAGCTTTGACAGTTGTTGTACTTTACATCGCGGGAATGCAGAACTTGGGAGGAATTTTTACAAAATGTCCAAGGAGCTGT